ATATATATATATATATATATATATATATATATATATATATATATATATATATATATGTATATTTTACCCTCCATCACTTCCCATTATATTCATCTACTAAATTTCACGTTTAACTCACTAATTTCAATAAAAATAAAAGTCTTGACAAATTAATATATAAATAAATGACATTAACTCTTAATTCAATAAATAAATAAATAAAATGAGGAGACAATAAAATGTGGATCCAGTAGACATTACATGTGATTAGGAAAGGAATTGTGTGTGGTTATCACGTGCCTCTGACCCCACTTTCTTTTCAAGATTATAACACCAAATTCAAATAATTAAATATAAATATAAATAAGCATCTTTCTTAAAGCTCACACTATTATTACAACATAAACAATATCATCACAAACTTATTCACCCAAAACAAATGGAATCATTGAATTCTTGAAGAGAGTATGAGGAAGATTAGAAGGGAAAGAATCTGGGTAATGATTTTTTGTTTTCTGGGTGGGGAATGGAAGGATTAATAAGGATGATTTTGGGGATTGTAAAGGAAAAAAAAGAAAAAAAATGTGTTAGGATTGTTTTCGGTGTAAATGAAACAGAAGATTGAGATGTGTTGTGTGTTGTGTGTTGTGTGTTGTGTTTGAAGATGAAAATGAAGATGGAGCTCACTCACTCTATTGAACCACCGCCATTGACTGAAACTCATTCCCCACGCCATTGGAGCTCCCTGCATTTCTTCTCTCAAACTCTATTTTATAATCCATTTTCTTCGTGTTCTTCGTGTTCTTGTTCTTGTCCTTGTCCTTGTCGTCGTTGTCTGGTGTATCATCCTCATCTTCGCTGCAGTACTCTTCTTCATTGTTGCTATCAGGTCGGCATAGCTCGTGCAGCTCCATCAGCTCATTCACAATGTCTTCTGGCTTCAAATGGAAAACGATAATCGGAATTTATTCATAGAAATATCTAATGGGGTTGTGAAATTGTGATTTGTTTTATGAATTCATGAGTTTACCTTCGTGGATGTTGCTGGTTGTTCTTCAGTTCCTTCACCGAAGAGGCTTGCGGATAGGCCCTCAGTGAGTATGGTTTGAGAAGTTTCTGTAGCTGTTGATGGGGCTATTTCCGTGTCCATATTCTTAATGGGGTCTTGTTCGGTTTTGCTCGTGTCGCTAAACGAGCTTCTACTGCCACTACCACCGCCATCCGAACCACCGCCGCCGCTGCCGAGGATCTTTTTGCGGTAAAGGGCGTCGAGTTCGTTGAAATAGGGGCAGGTTTTGGAATTCTCGCGGCGTTTTTTGTTGCTTTCTTTAACCTTCTTGAAGTACTTATTGATGTTTTCCCATTTCTCCTTGCATCTTTTGGCGCTTCTCTTGTAACCCATCCGTTGCATTCCAGCTGATATCTCTTCCCAGAGAAGACCCTTTGGACCTGTCTCTTGATACCTCGTTTCAAGCCCACCTCTCAGCTTAATCAGAGCTAGAACTTCCGGTTTTGGCCATCTTGAAGAGAAGGGTTCGGCACTCCCATCTCCCCCTTGGCTGATTTCCTGATATGGCATTGGCTGATCCAATGGCGACAGTGTATTTGAAGGCGGCGGATTCTGATCCTGGGCGGTTTTTTGATTTTGCTGCAGTGACAGAGCTGTTTGTGGTTGCAATGGCGGAGGGGGGACAGGAGATAATGGCACGGGCACTGACACTGGGACAGGCACAGGCGTAGGCACAGGCACATCATGTTGTTGATGTTGGTGGTGTGGGGCTACAGAAGAAGGGATATTCACCACAGGTAATTGAATGGTTTGGCCAGTAAATTTCTGGAGAAAAGCAATGATAGCGGCATCCCTAGAAGCAGAAATTGTCCGCTCTTGTGCCATTCTCTCTTGCTCTCGGCTCAATCTAGCCATTTCTTGCCTTTTCCACGTCTCTTCTCTAATCATTCTATCCTGCTCTCTCTTCCCCATCGCTTCCAGAAACTTCTGCTGCATAACCTCCTGTTTATGCATAACTTCCTTCATCAAACCCTCAAAAAACTCCATCATCATCTTATGGGTTCTCGACCCACTTCCCTTAACCACCCCCCTCCGCCGCTTCCGACTGGTTCCGGCGACACTCGACGGCTCCCCTTCAAGGTCAACATCAAACCCCATCTCCTCTTCATCGTTATCGTCCTCCTCCGTGGATGCAGACGAGGTGTTCGACGAAAAGCTGACACCCATAGGAGCGGTCGCAGGCGGTGGCCTGACGGTGAAATGGTCAGCAGGTGAATAGATTCCCATTGGGGTCTGTGAGGAAATGGCAGTGGAAGAGATTTTGACAGATGAGATTGGAGTTGGGTTACTAATTCCAAAACCAATGGGCGGCGCTGAGAAACAAGAAACCGCCACGTTGGGAGTAGATGCGGCGGCGGAGGCGGAGGCGGAGGCGTTGTGAAGTGCCTCAAGTTGTGTGAAGAATTTGTAGGTTTTGCCATCTTGACGGCCACCACGGCCTTCTTTAGTGCGCTTGTAATATTTCTGAACGTTCTCGAATTTCTCTTTGCATTTTTTGGCGCTTCTGTTGTAACCCAATTCCGTTAGCTTCCTGTTACAGAAGATTGTTGCATTATTCTGTTGATGATGACGATGATATGGTGGTGAAAAAGACGTAATTACCCTTGGAAGTTTTTGGCTGTGAGTTCATGTACATTGTATTCTATACAATTTTTGGAGCACGGAAAAGAAGGAAGAATTATTCTCGGGATTTTAATCTCCTCGGTTTCATACACAGCCTTAATTGCTTCAGCTTCATCTTCATTTTTCTTTTCTTTTTTTATTTTTATAAAATACTGAAAAGAAAACAAGAAGATGGAGAAAAAGTTTTTTTGTTTTCGTTTACTTTTTTGTGTTCGATGATTGGTTAGGATTCATGCAGCGGATCTGAGCAGTTCAATGGAAATTCGGAACAACAAAAACGATGAATCGATCTAATAAAAATCCGTTAGTTGCACAGAAATTCGTACCTGGAAACTTCATCCCAGAGAGGACCTTTGAGTGTCGCATCACGGAAAGCGGAATCCATGTCTGACCTAATTCTAAGCAGCGCTAGAGTTTCCTGACGAGGCCATCGATTACCAGCGCCGCTACTACCGGTTGTTCGGTCGGCATCATCTCCAGCAAGTGCTTCATCATCGCCGACGACCGGCATCTGGACAGTAGTGGAGAGACGAAAGAGTTCCTCATAATTCAAGGAAGACGATGCAGGAGGGCGACTACTAATCGGCGAAGCAGCTTCGACTTGTTGAGAATCGGTTATGGCGTCTACAGTCAAGGACGGAGTGGTGATATCCGGCGGCGAAACTGTAAATTGAGATTGAGATGGAGGTAATTCCAATCCGGATCCGGATCCGGATCCAGGTTCTGTTGAACACAACTCACTGTGGGAAACACTCGCTCTCTTTATTAAGACCAATCGAGAAGAGAATACAAGACACTCTGTAGAATACTTCTGCTTTTTATTGTTTTTAGATTTCTTGGATGAATAACCTAGGTAGGGTGGGGGTATTTATACTAAGAGTAAACAATCTATATTTAACCAATCTAAATCTAGACCTAACCGATTTGAATCTAGACCTAACAAATTGAATCTTTCTCCTAAAATATCTACATCTCTTTCTCCTAAAATCTCTACTAAAATAAATATACTGGGCTCGTACAATTAGGCTTGACTCTATTGGGCTAGTACAATTATTGGGCTTGACTCTATTGGGCTAGTGATGATATTTCAACACTCCCCCTCAGCACTAGTCCTCATTCGCTGCATCATGTTGAGCTGACAGCGAAAGCTCTCATGTTTGCTAGTATTCAACCCTTTTGTAAACAAGTCTGCCACTTGGTCATCTGTCTTGATCTGCTGCATCTCAATTTCTTCCTTTAGGACCTTCTCTCTAATGAAATGGTAGTGCACCTCCACATGCTTTGTTCTAGCATGAAACACTGGATTTTCTGCAAGGCGAATCGCAGATTGGTTGTCGCAAAGAAGTGATATTGGATAGTCAATTTTCTGGTGCAAATCTTCCATCAAGAGTTTTAGCCATGTACTTTCCTGGGCTGCTCCAGCCGCTGCTCTATACTCTGCTTCTGTAGTTGATAATGATACTGTTGGTTGTCTCTTGCTACACCAAGAAATTGTTCCCGAACCAAACTTGAACACATACCCAGTGGTTGACCTCCGAATATCGTGGTCTCCTGCATAGTCAGCATCACAGTATCCAACTAGCTTGCAGTCTTTGCTTCTTTTGTACAAAAGACCATAGTCGATTGTACCTTTGATATATCTCAAGATCCGTCGAGCTGCATCCAGATGAGGCTTCTTTGGACTTTGCATGTATCGACTCATAACCCCAACTGCATACGAGATATCAGGTCGAGTTAAAGTTAGGTAGATAAGACTACCTACTAGTTGTCGGTACGTTGTTTCATCGTTCAACTCTTTGCCTTCATGTGCACAAATCTTGGCATTTATCTCCATCGGTGTTGAAACTTGCTTGCACTCTAACATGTTGAACTTCTGAAGCATGTCTCTGGTATACTTTTGTTGGCAGAGAAACAGTCCTTCATCTGTGCGATCAACTTCTAGGCCTAAGAAGTGTTTAAGCTCTCCTAGCTCTTTCATCTGAAAGCGTATTGATAAATTTTCTCTTGTTTGATAAATTTCTCTTTCATCGTCCCCGGTGATAATCAAATCGTCCACGTAGACCAACACAATTGTCAAATTTCCTTCTCTTTCTTTGATGAATAGGCTTGAGTCTGCATGCGCAACTGAATAACCACTTTGGGTAAGAAATTCAGCAATCTTACCATACCAAGCTCTCGGTGCTTGTTTCAGTCCATAAAGAGCTTTTCTAAGCTTGCATACATAATTAGGATTAGCTGCACTCTCAAATCCCTTTGGTTGGTTCATATAAATCTCCCTGTCTAGCTCTCCGTGCAAGAAGGCATTCTTCACATCCATTTGCCACAGTTTCCAATCTTTACTTGCTGCGAGTGCTAGCAGAACTCGTACGGTAGTAATCTTTGCCACTGGACTGAATGTTTCATCATAATCTAGTCCATATTGTTGAGAAAATCCTCGAGCCACGAGTCGAGCCTTGTATCTCTCGATTGATCCATCCGGTCGACGCTTTATTTTATAGACCCACTTGCAAGAGACGAGTTTGATATCTCCTAGTCTTGGCACTAGTTCCCAAGTTTGATTATGCTCCAAGGCTATAATTTCTTCCTCCATCGCTTTCTGCCAAACCGAGTTTTGTGATGCTTCTTCATATGTCTCTGGTTCGTAAACTCTATCTTCTACAATAGCTGCATTTGCATACTTAGGATTTGGCCTTCGGATTCTATTTGATCGCCTAAGTTGTTGATGTGTTGTTTCATTTTTATCAGATTCGCTTGATTGAGTCACCTCCTGCTTGTCAATATCAATGTCGCTTGGATTTTCAGATGCATCGACATTTGATTGAATTTGTGTAGTTTGCTCCCCCAGCTTCTGTTGTAGAATTTCTTCAATGTTTGAATCTGATAAGACTTTCTTCTCCGAGGACCACCATGTAGATGCTTCATCAAAAACTACATCTCTTGATGTATAGTATTTTCCACTTGTTGGATCACAGCACCTCCATCCTTTTCTTTGATTGTCGTATCCAACAAATACACACTTGACTGCTTTCTTGTCAAACTTGCTACGTAGATGGTCAGGCACAAATACATAGCAAACACAGCCAAATACTCGGAAGTAACTAATTGTAGGTTTCATATCCCATAGTATCTCAAATGGTGAGACGAACCCTAGCTTTGGTTGAGGAAGCTTGTTGATCACATGGGCAGCAGTTCGCATAGCTTCAGCCCAAAATCTTCCTGGAACGTTCTTTGCGTGTAACATGCTTCGACAGGTTTCTGCAAGGTGTCGATTCTTTCTTTCTGCTACACCATTTTGTTGTGGCGTGTTGGCACATGTAAATTGACGTCGTATCCCACACTCGTGTAAATATTGATCGAACTCATCTGACGTGTATTCTCCGCCATTGTCTGAACGTAGACAACGAATCTTCGCTCCTACTTCTCCTTCGACCATCATCTTGAATTCTTGAAACTTTGAGAACGTGTCAGACTTTTCTTTCATAAAGAAAATCCACACATATCTTGAGTAGTCGTCAATAAATGTCACCATATACCGCATTCCGCTGATCGATGCTTGTTTGACTGGGCCGAACAAATCAGAGTGAACTAACTCTAATGGTTTCTTTGCTTTGAAACTTGACTCTTTGTATGGTAATTGATGAGCTTTACCATACTGACATCCAGCGCAGACAACGTCTGTTTTGACTTCCAGTTGTGGTAGACCTTTGAGCATAGATTTCTCCATAATCAGCTTCAACTTATGGTAGCTAATATGTCCCAATCTTGCATGCCATAGATCTGTCGTCTCATTCTTTCGGGTCTTGTCAACATAGGCAGACTCTGCAGATAGAACGTAGACAGACTCCACTCTTCGTCCTTCTATCGTCGGCTTTCCTATTATCTTAACATCTTGATAAACTTTTACATCTTCTGGCCCAAACAAGACATAGCTTCCTGATGTTGTTAGTTGTGACACTGACAACAAGTTCTTCTTTATACCCGGTACATGATAAACATTATGTAGCGACACTGTATCAGACTTATTGCCAGGCATGATTGTCGTATTGCCGATTTGAGCAATTGATAACTGTGTGTTATTTGCTGTACGTACCATACGACTTCCTTTGTACTCTTTCTTGTCTTGCAATTTTCTCTGATCGCCAGTCATGTGATTTGAACATCCTGAATCAACGATCCAGTCATTCTCATAGTTGATATGGTCTTCCATTGTCGCCATGAGTGCTAGCTCGTCTTCTTCTATGGGACATAGTACCTCTGCATCCCATTCATCTTCTATCTTCTTTTTGGATATTGCCACATTGTTTTCAATGGTCTTTTTCCTGGACCAACAATCTCTAGACATATGGCCCTTTTTCCCGCAGTTATAGCAAATACCACCAAATCTCGTTCTTTGAAAACTCTTGTTGTCGTTCTTCTGAGCTCTCTCAGGTTGTGCAATCCCTTGGTGGCTTCTTCTTTTGTCACCATTGTATCCACGTCTGGTAGACGGCCTATTATTGCTCTGACTTTCACTCGTGTAGAGTGCTTCTTCACCCTTCAACGTGAAGCCTCCCATTTGTTTAGCCATGGCTTCTTGGCTGGCTAACAAATTTTCGAACTCTACCAGTGATGGTTGAGTGGGCCATCCTTGTACAGCAGCAATGAAGCTTCGATATTCTGGTCGCAATCCGTGGATTATAATCCTCTTCATTCGAGATTCTACAATGGCGGACTTTGGGTCTAGTTCAGTAATCTCCCGACAGATCGATTTGACCTTGTGGAAGTACTGAGCAATCGTCATATCACGTTGTGAAATTGACAACAACTCATTCTCCAGAAGTTGTAGTCTCGTATCATTCTTCTTTGAGAACAACATCACGAATGTGTCCCATGCTTCTTTCGGTGTCTTGTCATCCCAAATATGTTCTAACATCTCTTCTCCGATGGTGGTCTTCAAGGCAAACATTGCTTTGCCTGCTTTGATTCTCCATTTGCGCAAGGCGTCGTTAGAATCCTCCTCTGGCGGCGTAGTTTCACACCCGCCAACGATCTCCCAAAGATCCTGTCCTTGTAAATAGGACATCATGCATGTTGCCCACGTGTTGTAGTTGTTGTTGTTGAGTTTCTTAATTCCTCCAACGATTTGGAAATCACTCATCGTGTTGGCCATACCTCAGTAATACCAAACAAGTTCTTTTGACACAAGACTTGCAGAGTCACAGACTTCTCACGACACAAAAGAAACTCACTCACCACTAATCTCAAGAAATCGTTTCTGATGTGGAAGATCAGGCAGAGCTGCAACCACAGAGCATACTAAGGATTCCAAGAGATCAGATAACCTACACTAACCTCGCTCTGATACCAAATGTTGAACACAACTCACTGTGGGAAACACTCGCTCTCTTTATTAAGACCAATCGAGAAGAGAATACAAGACACTCTGTAGAATACTTCTGCTTTTTATTGTTTTTAGATTTCTTGGATGAATAACCTAGGTAGGGTGGGGGTATTTATACTAAGAGTAAACAATCTATATTTAACCAATCTAAATCTAGACCTAACCGATTTGAATCTAGACCTAACAAATTGAATCTTTCTCCTAAAATATCTACATCTCTTTCTCCTAAAATCTCTACTAAAATAAATATACTGGGCTCGTACAATTAGGCTTGACTCTATTGGGCTAGTACAATTATTGGGCTTGACTCTATTGGGCTAGTGATGATATTTCAACAGGTTCTGCAGCGGGTTCCATGAGCTTAAAATCTCCGGCAAGAAGAACTGTAATCTCTCCACTTTGAAACAGTCCAGAAATGAACGCCGGGAAGTGAAAATTGAAGGGAAACCCAGCTTCAGACGAAATGGAGACGGCGGAGTTGAGGTGCGGAGTTGAATCCGTTGGTCGGAAGCTCCATTAAACGATCTGTCGAGAGAGAAGATGAAGAAGCGGGGAAGAGAGTTTAAGGTTTGGAAAAACTAAAAAGAAGCCATAATTAAAAAGGATCAAACAACTCAGAGAGAGAGAGAGAGAGAGAGAGAGAGAGAGAGAGAGAGAGAGAGAGAAGCAGTAGACAGCTGGAAAATAAAAAATTAAAAAAAAAATTGAAGTCAGAAAGTGAATTCCTACGAGTTAGTGCTCTAAGAGCCTTTCAGATTTCGATTCTTTTTCTTCTTTTCTTTTTTTTTTTTTTTTTTTATTAATTACATAATTTTAAAATAAATAAATAAATAAAAGAAATGAAAAGAAAAAGACGGCATAATCATCCTCATCGCAACAGCTCTGCAGACCACTAGCAGTTGTTTTATTTTTTTATTTTTTTATTTTTTTATTTTTAGCCCTGCTGTTTTGTGGGATTTATCTCTTAAATAATTTTGGATTTAAATCTTTATTTTATTTTATTTTTCTATTTTAATATTTTTTAAATCTTTGCAACTAATAATTTAATGTAACAAAAAATAACTGTCAAAACACCCTTCACTCCAGTTCAGTACTTTTTTTTTTTTTTTTTTTTTACTTTATTCAAATTATTAATTCAAACCGGAACTGGCAATCAGCTTAAGGGAATAAATCAATAATTATATAAACTTTCTAATCATTATTATTTTAGGTTCTTCTGTTTAATCATCTTTCAATTTTAACTAAAACTCATACTCCCACTTAATGGGGATAAAAATACTTTATGCTAATTTTTAAAATTAAATTTATAAATTTATTAGATACAAAATAAAAAATTTAGATTTATAAATACTAATAGTATTTTTATTATTTTAAATTAAATCTCTAAAGATTATTTCCATAAATTTCACTAATAATTTAAATATTTTTCTTTAAAAATATAAATCAACAAAAATTTAAAAATCAAAGGGTTACCGAACCGAGTTTTAGATAACTATTAGATATTTTTTAGAGTTTAAAAGTTGATTTCGTGTATCCAAATTTATAAATTAATCATTATTTTATATTAATATTAATATTTTTAAGAATGTTTTTTAATCATTATTTTAAATCTTTCTTCTGAATGTATATAGTTCATGTATTGATTTAAGCTCATATAGAAATTTAGAGTAAAATAAGTTGGTTAAGTGAGCATTAGGTGAGCCGATCTTCAATGGTAAAATAATAACATTCATCAAAATATGGTATATTTCTTTTGTAAAAATGAAATCAAGAATTTAATCCACATTTTAAAAGTAATAAAAATAAAAATGGTCAATCCAAACATAGTTCACAAAATTTAAGGTTAGTTAAATTTGTGACTTTAAATTTTTTTTTTTTTTTTTTTTTTTTTTTTTTTGGGTTAGGTTCTCCGAGTTGTTTTAAAAAAAAAATTACTTATCCACCATATGTGTTACATTAATAATTAAATCTCATATTAAAATTTTACAAGTCATAATACATAAATAACCTCGATTACAAACATTAAATATTATTGATTTTAAAAAATATAGAGGTATGGCAGGATTGTAATTTAAGTTTAAGTTGGTTGAATTGACAAAAAAAAAAAAAATAATAATAATAATAATAGAGAACTAAAAATTAAATCAAATTTTTTATATTTAAAAGATCGGAAATTTTTTGAGCTATATATTCATATTATTAAAAAAAAATATATAAAATAAAGAAAAGGAAAATAATCAGACACAAACGGGAGTAAGATAAGAAGATAGATTGGAGAAGGAGGGTCGGTGATTTGACCCAACGTTTCAGTGGCGGTGTCGGCGTGGCCTTTCATAATTGGATTTTGCCTTGACTTTTCCCAAGAATTGACACCAGCTTACCCTGGCCCCAACTCTACACCAGATTCCCTCCCTCTTCTATTATTTTTTTTTATATTTATATAACATCTTATTAAATCAAAAACTAAAATCATTTTTAAATTTTTAAAAATTTTCAACATTATTAGTTTCTTTAACTTAATTCAAAAATATCATTAAATTTAAAAAAAATTACATATTCCTACTCTTGGTATCATATTAAAAAAAAAACACTCTAAAAATTAAAAAATTTAACAATAATATTATCCGTGGTTCAAAATTAAAAAAAAAAAATTAATTGGGAGGAATTTAGTTTATCATATAAAAGGAAAGAAAGAAGGAAGATGGAGAGGGGCAGGACGTATTTAAAACCATGCAAAGCATAGAGAAAACATTAAGAATAATATGAGGAGAGACCACATGTAGCGCACATTCTAATTTATAATTATAACTTTAATTATAATTAATGTTTGAGTTAATATAGATTCTTAATGTTTTTAAATCCATTTTTTAATGCATCAATAATTTTTAATTTTTAATTTTTAATAAATAAATAAATAAATAAATAAATAAATACAATTTAATCACTCAAATTAGTAAATATGAAAATGAGAGGGAAAAGAAAATAAAAGAGGAAAAAAGGGAAAAGGAAAAGGCAAAATGGTGGCATGAGGGGCACATGGTGATTGACTGTAGTTTAACGGAGTTGTCGAACCATATTAAATAAGGAGCACGTGATGGGAAAGAGGGACACAATCGTAAATTCACACCTCCCCTTTCGTAAATTTTCCCATCCATCCAATTTCCGTAAATTCACTCCCTAAAAAACAAAATAATAAATAATATCTAATTTGACAGCGCATAAATCCTGTACCCATTTCCTTTCCTTTTGCTTGTCTCTTTCTCTCTCTCTCTCCTCTTTTTTAAATTATACAGGTTGTATATACAAAGATCCGATATTAACTTAATTTCTTTTTCCCCTATTTTCCTTAAATTTTAATTTAATAAATTTATCATTTTCTATTTATCTCAAATAATTTTCAAATTTTTCTTTTTAAATTTTGTATTTAATATAAACCTTTCATATTTTATACACACTTATATATAATATTTTTAAAGTCTAAACTTGGTTCATAGAATTAAGAAAAAAAAAATATCAATAATTTCGCATTGTTATTGAAATTGAATAATTAAATAGTGGTGGGATATCTTAAAATAATTAATTTTATGATGACATTAAAATGGATGGTAACACTCAAAAAAGGTCACGTAAATTTGTATATTTTATTAATCAGAAAAAATTGAAGACTTTATAGGAAAGGTTTGACTTTTTTTTTTCATTTTTATATTTTATTGATATTTTATTTACTAAATCATTATTGGAAAAAGTGTTTGACTTTATATCAAAAACTTAATATATTTAAAAAATAATTCTCTCTCTCTCTCTTTTTTTTTTTTTGTTAAAAGGAAAAAAATTACAACAAGAATTTGATTAAGTTTAGGATGAAAATCCAATTATTTTTATATTATTGTAACTATAAGGTTGTTTTAGCGTGTAAATTTAAATAAACATATAGAAAAGGAATTTGAATTTATTTAATGTATGAAATGCTTCCAATAAATCAACGGTTTTGCTTATACAAATCATATAATGAATATTTTTTTTTATATTAAAGTATTAATTTAAGTTATCTCAAATTTGATTCCACATGGTTTAATAACAAACCATTAATTACGTTTCCTTTTCCACTCAAATAAATACAAAACTCATTTAAAAAATATATATTTCTTCGCAAACAAGTTTGGGATGTGGAGTGGACTTGACATCATTTTCAGAATAATTATAAATTTTAAAAATCAATAGTATCTTAAATAGACTATAAAGTAAATACTTATTATTTATGAAATAATAGATAGACATAAATGTGACAACTATTCAAAATAACAAATTTGAAATTGTGGTAAGATGAAGACCATGTTAATATGTCGGGCTAGGAAAATAAAAATAAAATCAAATTAATTTCTCTAAAATCCCAATTAAAATCTACCCAATTTAATTAAATTAATAAAATACGTCAAAACACATGGTGCGCACCGCATTAATTATAAATTTGATTTAAACCAAGCACATGCATTATTTATTAGATTCAATATATATATATATATATATTTTGTCAAATTGGTAATTTAATGGTTAAAACCTTGGTAGATTAAATTAACCGACAATAATTAAATAATTTTTAATCTAAACTAAAATGGAAAACTAATTTAATAATTAGGATTGTGTTCGGGCCTCTTTACATGACTTTTGACTAATTTCACCGAAAAGTTGTATGACCTTACTACATTTGGTTGAAAGAAAACACGTAGGATATAGGTATCGTGAGTCGACTAATAATGAGCGTGTAAGGGAACGTGGGTGGCGTTTCTCCTGGATTTCAGAATCCCCCAACTGCCCTCCATCTTGCTTCTTCCCTATACTTCTCTTCCTTTTCCTCTTTTCTACTTCTTTCTTGTAATTTTCTAAAACAAATAACTATCATAAATAAACATTATATAAAACTATTTAAAGAACCGGTCATCAAGGGGTGGTGGCGCAGTTGGCTAGCGCGTAGGTCTCATAGCTTCGAGTTATCCTGAGGTCGAGAGTTCGAGCCTCTCTCACCCCAATATTTTTTTAAATTAAATTTAAAATGGGAGGTTTCTTTTTTGGGCCTTCAATGGGCTTTGCTCGACCTGGACAAAAAAGCCCAAACTAAGCATTGTTTTAGCTTGATTCTAAGAACCATTATTAAAGTTTATTATTATTATTATTATTATTATTTCCTAAAACAAATGGTTGATGAGTATTATTATACATTACATAGCCTTAAATATTATCATAAAGGAATAAAGAATCCATATTTGGGCCAAATAAAAATGCTAAATAAATTATTGCTGCCACGTCATCTTAACACATCCAATCATTTGGTCAAAAACTGTCGCCTTCACTTGATCAATCAACAACAACAATTACAGAAAAATAATTATTTAAATTTACCGATAATAATACGAGACTTCAAATAATTGTTTTGTCATTTTTATTCTTTAATGATGAAAACTAAATTTCAGA